GGTAATACACCTGGAAAACCAAAACCCTTCCTCAGATGCCATTTCAAGCATGAAGAAGTGTGTTTTGAACCCAGTTTAGCTTGATTCCTATTATTTGATTTGATTTCCTTTGAAAAATCCATTATAAAATCAGTAATCCACATTAAAACAGTAAAAAGAGACTGAATCTTTTCTTACCTTGTTATTTGAAGATCACCTTGTAAAAGTCTTAGATATGTTCCTAGGTTTTCTCATGCAAACAATCTTTTTTTCTGTGGCAAATAACTTTTCATCCACAGCTTCAGTTAACTCTCAAAAGTGCTAGCTTCTCGTTATGATTTGACTGGAAGATCTTAAAAGTATTTGTATGTAATTTTTGCTTGCTGGGTTTTTCATGCCTGTGCCTTGCAGTGACACTGTATTTTGTGATAAGATAAGGTTCCATTCCAAAACCAACGTGCAGAGGCCTTCATTAATAATTAACAAAAAGAATGAAGTAATCACCTATGCTGTAGAGAGAAGTAGTTAGCCATGTTAATCTGCAGTCAGGCAGGAAGCAGAATAGAGATGCACCTTATAAACCAATAAGAGATATATAAGCTTTTGTGAGCAAGTGTTTACGTCATCATGTGCTATGATAAGACTCCCCTCAAGCCCTGGGAGCTCTTGCTCAGCTTTTGCTTACCAGGAGGCAACCTGGGGAATCTTATGGCACATCTCTGTAAGTGAGGAAATTTGAGGTTTCCCCACTTAGAGACATGTCCCTGGGATCTCTGGGGTGCATGTCTGTAAGGAGGAAAGCTGGGCAGGCAGTTGCAGACCTTGATGAGCCCAGTCCTGTGCAGGAATTCCTGGCATGCACAGGATCCCTCAAGCCCTGGAAAAACACATCATCCATCATCCCATAGTATCAATGGGCAGGACAGCAGGCAAAGTGTGTTTCACATAATAAAGTGGATCAGCTGTGCCAGGACATATCCAAGCACAGTTGATCTGCATCATTTGGCAATTTCTGTTTCTAGCCACAGTGATATGGACACTGCCTTGGAAAAGAGAGGGCCATGGCCCCTGCCCACCAGTAAGGCAGGAAAAATTTCATTTCATAAAAAGGATTATTAAATGCAAGGCACAGAAAAGCCATATGGAGAGAAGGGGCAAAACCTAGGGCCTCTTCCCATCTAGAACAGTATCCAAACCACCCTCATTCTGGCCATGGATATTTTGCCTCCCTGGATGCCCAGTGGTCCAGTTTCAAATGTGAGCTAGAGAAGATTCTCATCAGTGCTTCTCTCCTAGCCTGGTGGTTGGAGCACTTTGCTAGGAAGTTGGATCTGTAGATTCAAAACCTGCCATCTGGGTAAGCAGGGGCTAGAACTGGCTGTCTGCTCC